GTGTTTTATGGAGTTGGAATATTGTGTTTGTTAGGTTGACTGATTTAAGGAACAAAACTATAATGTAATAAAAATTTTAATATTATAAAATTAAAATATAGTAAGCTCTGCCTGTGCCTTGTTAACCTGCGTGTCAAATTGAGTGATTGATGTGCTGTTCGGTGGGGTGACGTCGCATTGGTTGTATCATCGTGCAGATACAGGAGTGGAGAGTAGGTTGATTAGTGATATACCTGTCTAGCACTATACCATGACATGGATGGACGATTGAGAGATGGACATAAAGTAACTGAACTAGCTGGTTAGCAGGCTTTGATAAGCGTGTCTACAGTGGGTGTAAGGTTTATTAGACTAGTATGCTCTGCATTGGCCATGATAACTAAGTCTAAGCTATAAAGTAAGCGTACTTCAATGCTCTACAGAAGGGTGTACTACCACAGTTACTGCGACACCATACGACACAATACAAGGGATAAAGCCACTTCATTGTATAAAGACAAGGCTAAGTTTTACTATCGGGAACTTTCACAAATGCCGCCTGTTCTATTTATATACTGTACCTTAAGTTGAGAAGACCCGGGTTTGTGACTACCAATCGTCTGTCACCGGCAGAGACCCATTGTGACAATGAAGTTGTTCGAGACCTGTTCTGTGCGCTTGCAGCAGTTGGAGAATGTAATATTGTCAAGGCAGGCGGGCATTGTGGAACAATGATTATCGGGGGGCCATTAAGATTGGAGACACACCAGACCCTTGTTGCTGACGACTACCCAACTTGCCTGACAGACACGGTTTTCGACTGATTTTCTCTCATTACTGGTGTCATAACTACCGAAGCTCCACATTCTTCCAATAGGAGTGTTATAATTCGAGGTCCGCTGTCGATGCCCTGGGTTATCAAAAGAGAGTTGTAGGTGTGTTTTGCCGCTCCATTCTAATCACATATTTTGTGCGAAAGGTATTACAGCATGGCTCATGTCGATGTGATATACGTATGTGCATGGCCATGGGAATACCAGGCCAAGTAATTTCATAGGCGTCAATTCAAGTGCTCTTCTAGAACACAAGCTTACGCCGTAGACGCTGTTAGAATGAGAACTATGTATGGGTTTGCTGAGGTACCAGAGGAATATGAGTACTCCCAGATTGAAAGATATTGGGTGCGATACAGTACAGAGAACGTTTATATCCTTGATGAACGTTCTGAAGTCTGTATACTGTAGTGCAATATTCTACAGAGTATCTATAACCTTTCGATTTGCTGCTTTAGCTGTATCTCTAGTAGATAAACTATTAAACAATGTATCACTGTTATTAAAGGCTTTAACCCAAATTGATATATTAAAGAAAATATAGGTTAATGATCTACCCTCTAGAATCCAAAATTAATAATTGTAATAATAGATTCACATTCTTGATACTGGAAGGTTCTTCTCTATTATCATTCACTTTCGGATACAATTAGTGTAGCACAGATCTTTAGAAGAGGTTTCAATAATTGTTCAAATGATACTTGCCTATAAATCACATATCCCCGTGTCAATAAAGACTCCTGCCAGGAAGTCTCCTTCCCTACGTGTGGACATCAAGAAACTGTCGAGAATTCTTTAGATTACCCCGCGTCAGGCTGAAATCACGAGGTTGCTGCATAGACAAGAAAACACAAGCAGCTGAATTTTAGGTCTCCCGTCTCTGTTGTTTCCTTTATTCTTGACTATCCTACTATGTTTCGTTAGCGCAATACGATCTCCTCTCAAGCAGCCAGAATGTCAGACCCTGCGAACTATATCGTCGGCTGGATCTGTGCCATAGCCACAGAATACGTTGCTGCACAAGAGCTTCTCGATGAGGAGCACGAAAGGCCAGCCTTTGTGTCATCAAATGATCCGAACGACTACACATTGGGCAGAATTGGTGAACACAACGTCGTCATCGCCGTCTTGCCGGATGGTGAATATGGAACAGCTTCTGCGGCCAGTGTGGCAACGAACATGTTGAATAGCTTTCCGAACGTCAGGATAGGCCTTATGGTCGGCATTGGTGGTGGGGTTCCAAGTGAGAAGCATGACATTCGTCTGGGCGATGTTGTAGTGAGTGCAACTCGTAATGGCGAGGGTGGTGTGTTCCAGTACGACTTTGGCAAGTCGATACAGGCCCAGGGCTTTGAGCATACGCGGTTCTTAAACCAGTCCCCAACCATACTGCGCACTGCAATCACAGGTATCCAGGCACAGTATAAGAGGAAGGGACATCAGCTCGCGGAGACTGTCAATGGAATTATCGACAGCAACCCAAGGCTACGGCGAGAGTACGAGCGACCACAATCAAGCACTGACCGGCTATTCAAAGCCGAAATTATTCATGACTCAAGAGGCTGTGAGGAGGTTTGTGCAAAAAGCCCCTTCAATTTAGTTCTGCGGCGCGAGCGGACTGAGTTTGACGATAACCCTGCCGTCCACTACGGCCTGATTGCTTCTGCCAACCAGTTGATGAAGGATGCTTTGATTCGAGATAGGTTGGCGGTGGAAAAAGAGGTTCTCTGTTTTGAAATGGAAGCCGCAGGTCTGATGAACAGCTTTCCTTGTCTAGTGATTCGGGGCATATGTGACTACTCGGACTCGCACAAAAATAAACAATGGCAAGGGTATGCAGCAATGGTGGCGGCTGCATACGCCAAAGACTTGTTGGGTCGGATCCCATCGAACAAAGTTGACGCTGAGAGGAGGATCGGCGACATTCTATCTGGTTAGTCTATATCAGTTCAATAGTCGTCCTATAGGTTAATACTAAAAGATGCCATTATGGTAGGTCTCCAAGACGTCGCAGAAGACCACAAGAACATTGCACAGAAGCAGCTTGATATACAGGAAAACGAACTCAAGCAGAAGTTGTCTGACAAGCAATTGGAGTGTCTTCACTTATTCCGTCTCACCTCTAGTGCCCACGACACCACATATGAGTGGTACAAGGATCGTGTGGAAACGCGGGTCGAGGGCACCTGCGAATGGTTTCTCAACCACCATCATTTCCAGCATTGGCTACACGAGGATTCCGGGCCATTACTGGTGTCAGCAGACCCAGGCTGTGGGAAATCTGTCCTCGCTAAATATCTGATTGATGAGAGATTACCTCGCTCGGCAACTATCTGCTACTTCTTTTTCAAATCCCAAGATCAGAACACCGTCCGCCAAGCACTCTGTGCTCTACTCCACCAACTCTTTTTACACCAGCCGGTTTTGGTTGAATATGCCATGGACGCTTTCAAGAAAGACGGGTGTAGTCTGATCAATTCAACAATATCCCTCTGGACAATTCTAGAAAACGCAGTGCAAGACCCCCTGGCCGGATCTATAATCATTGTCCTCGACGCCCTGGATGAATGTGCCCAGTCCGAGTGTGAGGATCTGGTCCGAAAAATAAAGAATCAATTCCTCGGCGGCCGCTCAAGTAGTCTGAAGTGCCTGCTAACAAGCCGTCCGTATGAAGAGATCATGGGTAAGTTCCAGAACCTGCTGGAATCCTTCCCATATATCCGTATACCAGGAGAGGAGGAGTCGGATAGCATTAGTCGAGAAGTCAACCTTGTCATAAAGCACCAGGTCAAGCAGCTGGCGAAAGAGAAAGATCTTCCAGACCGAGTGGAGGCTCATTTGGCAGAGAAATTGCTCGGCATCCCACACCGTACCTACCTCTGGGTATATCTTGTGTTCGACTGCTTAAAGAATCGACAATTCAAGAAAACACCCAAGGGTCTCGATGGCATGATGGCTAACCTGCCCACCACTATCTACGGGGCATATGAGCAGATTCTGACCAGGTCACACCAGCAAGAACCGATGGTTCGGCGGGCATTAAGTATGATTTTGGCAGCGAGCCGGCCATTATCTGTTTCAGAGATGAACGTTGCATTGAACGTTGATAGGACATCAAAGTCAATTCATGACCTTGATCTAGAAGAAGACAAGGACTTCAGGACACGGCTGAGAAATTGGTGTGGGTTATTTGTGTCTGTCCACCATGATCAGGTGTATTTTATTCACCAAACCGCTCGAGAATTCCTACTTACAACCACAACTATCCCTCGGGACTCATGTTGGCAACACTCTATCACCAACATTGAAGCCCATAGCGTTCTTGCAGAAGCCTGTGTTTTATATCTTGACTTCCTTAATAATGACTCAGCCCCCATAGTTGCAAGCACAGATGATGGCGAGTTCCTCAATGAATATATATTCCTAGATTACTCGGCCAAAAATTGGGGTACCCATTACCGCGAGGCGAGTGACAGCACCTGTGCTGATTTAGTTTCATCTACTTTGAGCATATGTACTCCTGAGTCAAGGAGCTGGTCTGCATGGTTCACAATTTTTCAAAAGGGCGAACAAAAGCTTTCTACTGGAAGAGTTACCAACCTCATGATATCGTCATATTTTGGGCATGAGGGAATTGTCCAGCTTCTAGCCGACAGGGGCGCCAACTTAGAATCCGTGGATAATCTTGGTCGAACACCGCTGTCATACGCAGCTGAGAATGGGTATGAGGCTGTTGTCAAGCTACTGATTGACAAGGGCGCCAGCTTGGAAACTGTAAATTTTGTTAGACGAACACCATTGTCATATGCAGCCGAGAATGGGCATAAGGCCATTGTCAAGCTACTGATTGACAGGGGCGCCAGCTTGGAAACTGAAAATTTTGTTACACGAACACCACTGTTATACGCAGCTAAGAATGGGT